TGTACAGTTCAACCAGGATTTTTCCACTGCTCTCTTGCATTAGTCTACATCTTCTCAGAAATTTCACATGCCTTTTTAGGATTTTCCTAGTGATGTCTGGGAATGTCCCCTCCAGATTTCTAGGAATTTCTGCTCAGCTTTCAGGAAATTTCATGCTGCTTTCTAGGAAACCTTCCCATTGCTTTCCAGGTATTTATTTCATCTGACTAGGAATTTACATTTGCTTTCTAGGAATTTCCAGCTGCTTTCAGGTAATCCCTAATGGTCTTCTAGAAATTTCCCTGATGCTTTCTAGTAATTGTGTATTATTTATAGGCATTCCCTTCTGCTTTCCATGATTTCCCTTCTGCTCTTCAGAGATTTCCCACAGCTTTCTAGGAGCTGTGCATTTCTTTCTAGGATTCCTCCATTGTTTTATATAAATTCCTCCTTATTTCATAAGAAATTCCCTCCAGATTTCTAGGAATTTGTAGCCAACTTTCTCATTTTGCTTTCCTGGAGTACTCCTCCCACAGCTTTCTAGGAATTCAGTTCTGATTTCTGAGAATTTCCCATAATTTTCCAGGAGTTCCCTGTAGCTTTCTAGGAATTTCCCAAAGTTTTCTAGACATTTTCCATATCTTTCTAGGAATTTCCTGCTCTTCAGGCATTTCTATCAGCTTTTTCAGGTATACCTATCGTGCAGTGACATGGTGTCAAGTGTTGTTCCATGTTGTTTGTGCTGTTGCACGTTATCACATGTTGTGCCATGTTGAATGCTATTCTGAGTTGCCCTGTCATGTCTTGTTTTGTCATATGTTGTGCTGCCACATCTTGTTCTCACCTGTTTGCTCAGGTTGCTGCATGCCTTCCTGTGTTGCTGTAGCATGCTCTTGTGTGTCATCTGCTTCTGCGTGCTGTCAGAGGTTATCAAGTGCCATCCAGTGTTGCTGCAGGAATAAACCTATGAGAGTGAATATTTTTAACTGCTATTTTCAAAAGCCATTGGAAACACACAGGAGGTGAAATTATTAGGAGTTAGCGATATCTGGTCCCTAGAGGATGATGAAAAAAATGTCAGGCCTGGTTGACAGCCCAGATCAGTCTGACTAGTCAAGTAGCTTGCTGCTGACAGCAGCTGACACAGGTGCTTCAGGGTGTGAACAATCCCACAAGAGATATTTACAAAATAGCCATATCATAGAGCAAGGGTCTTCCTAATCCCCTTGAAAGGCTGGTTTATCCCTTTAAATTTAGCTTTATGTCCCTTCTAAATGCAGATTGGATTTTCATGTTCATTCCCTCCCAGTCTTATCTGATATAACTATGCATCTAGATAAATAGGAAAATTAAGCATGCATCAATTTAGCTTGGCACAGTACAGCATGAGTAACCTAAAATTGGGTTCAAATATTACAGATGGAGCCAAATCCTCTATCAGTTTATATAAGGGTTTTGTTATAATTTATATTGCCAAAAAGTGTAGTGTCTGTTTGGCCAAATTTCCCTGGATATTAGTTTATTCATTATTAGCTGAGACTGGGAAGACAGTGTGGTGGTTTTTGATAGACTGACACAGACTCACAGAAATCCCTAGATTATTTACAGAAACAATCATTGAACTCATGGGCACTCCTCAGACTGTACTGACATCGCTTCCAGTCTGGGATTTAGATTTTCTACATCAAATTGATGTACAGTCAGTAGACCATAGGAAATCATGTATATACATGGTTCACCTCACCCAATATTCTGCTCCTGATAGCAAAACCCAGCACAAAGCCTTCACAGGCACCTTCCATCGAGTGCTAATGAATAGTTCCCAGAAATGTTGCTGGTTTCTTCTGGCAAACCCCTGATAACAGCCAGCTTGGTGCCAAGGCCAGTTCCTAACACCATCTTCCAGGGCTAGCAGCTGAATACACCCCAGTTCCTTGCACTGCACCTTCAGGGCCTTCACTACACATCATTTCCCACCTGCCCTACAACTACTTTTCATGGAGCAGAAAAGTCTTGACATGTCCCACACTTGCCTTTACTCTGGTTGGCTGTGCAGTTTCTGATCCAGGGTTGCAGAAAACCTGGTCCTGCAGTGCCACTTACTGGACATTTATGTTAATAAAAGCAATGTGCAGCAGGTCTTCGTTTTTCTCAGTTGATTCCCAATGCCAATTTGAAATTGTAACAAACATAAAAAGCATTAATGTCCAATGTAAATATTATGAATACAGGAAAACTTGAGGAAAGCAAACAGAGTGAAGCTCATTTCTTAGATGAGGCAGTAACTGTTAAAGGAACAGAAATCCTCCTTTTCTGATCAGCATAAGGAAGAATTTGCCCTGTAATAGTGCAGGAATTCTTCCAGGTGGAAACATGCAGATGGTTAAATTCATCCCTAGTTCAACAAATGCAAAGGACTGATTGTATGTCTGGAGGCTTGTAGGAGTCTTATTAATACATTCTTTGGGAAATAAGGCAACTGAAGAAATGCTTCAACAGGAGCTGAGGTAGGGCTTATTTGATTAACACAGTCATATTCTCTAGGCACATGCTCTCTGTATGTACCATTAGTATTCGCACTATAATTTAACCAGCAAGATAAAACACTCTGCATGAATCTGTAAGAAAACATATGCTTGAGCTTACAAAGGGGACATTGACCAAGCTGAAAATTAGTGCAGACAGAGAAACACATGTAGCCAGAGGTCAGATATTCTTTGTGACTACCCATCTTCACCTACTCGCCTTCCAGTTTTGTGGCTTATGAGCAATTGTTGTTGGCTGGTCTGAGCCATCTCAAGACTTTTCAGGATTCATGGCAAAAAATCAGATTTGTTTCTCAGCAATGGGAGAAGTGACTGGTCTAGTGAAAGACAAGTTACATAGCTGTTCAAAACCATCTGCAATGAGTATAGAGCACATTATTAACTCAGGGAATGAACGTAGCTTTCCATGTAGCAACTCAGAGAAAGAATTTAGGTATTAATATATTTACATAAAAAATCTGCAAGCAGAGTTTCTATTGTGATGTGCAGAAAAGACCATGTGTGGGTTTAAAGCAGATTAACAAGTTAGTATCTTTGGCATGTAAGAAAATTATTAGAGGCAGAAGACATCAGTCCTCAGAATGTAAACCATATACCACAGTACCAGTTATACCCACTGACAACTAATTTATTTCTAAGCACAACATCCAGCTGTCTCCATTTTCTGAATAAGAAGTCTTTCCTGATCAGTCATTGCAATGTTTTTAGCAACAAGTGTTAGGGATGGATACCATCAAAGATGTATTCGGTGTTGGATCTGTCAGTGGCCATGGAGACTGGGGTCTGCCTAGCAAGATTAAAAAGAACTAAAGACACCAGCAGTAAAGTACATAAACTGTGAACAAATTCTGTTGTGCAAGAAAAATGCAGTGCAAGGATATCAGTGCCAGTTTTTACTCTTTCATGATCTAATCTCATCTGGTTTATTTGCACTTGTAACTGTCATATATATATATAATCTGTAAGACCTAAATTGTGGAGCCACAGTTGAAACAGATAGGTAGACATCTGAGATTTGATGTATCTGTGTCAGAATGAAAGTTGAATCTTAACTTTTCATTGAAAATCATAAACTGTGTAGGCCAGTGAAAAGCTGAAAACAAACTCCAGCCTACACAATTATATTTTTATTAAAAAAAAAAAAAAAAAAAAAAAACAAAAACCAACAAACAAACAAAACAAAAAAAAATCCAATTTTTCACAGAAGTTGAGTTTTAACAGCAAAGATTTCACCACTAAGTGTATCTCCACAAACATTTAATACCTGAGGAGACTTCTGGTTTTTTAGTATAAAAATCTCATTTAGCATCCTGCACCGAGCAGTGACGGGGAGGTCAGAGCTTGTCAGCCCCATATTCAAAGTGTTGAAGGGCAGGATTGTTCTGCATGCAGAGCTGCCACCCCTTCAGGGGTGAGACCCGTGGACAGAGCAGCACTGTCACAAAGGGAATTTTAACAGAAGACCTTAGAGGAGCTGGGCTGGGTTATAGACGGCAGTTGCAATCGGCCTCTGTGTGTTGGCAAGTTACTGCAGTCCACCAGAGAGGTAAACGAGCACTGTTTGCAGGCTATAAATGAGACGCAGTACCACTGTATCTGAACACATTTTCCCACTTTCCCAGACGACTCAACATCACTTATGGGATAAGACCAGCTCATGTGTTGCTGACTATAACACTATCAGACTCGAGCATTAATGTGCCAATTCTTGAAAGGTGTGTTAGGAATCTAGTTTGTGCATCTATCACCATGTTCGCCAGGAAGCTGGGCTGGAGAAATGATATAAATGATGTAATTGAGTATCTCTACTATTTTTTTTAATCTCAAATGATTGCACATATAATCTCAAACGGTGAAGCTGTTGGATGGTATAAAGATAAAATGTCAATTGATTATAATTACTAAAAGGAAATGCTCTGAAATCCATTCGCAGCCTTCCAACAAAATCAAGGACCTGCATTTGTATGACATTTTTAAGGCCTCATACACAAGAAAGTTCCCATGAGCTGGGATGGATTTCATAGGAGCGCGTTGCTTTATTATTTTTTTTATTCTTAGGATCGAGACCTGTGGTAAAGTATTTTTCTATCTTTCACTGTGGTTTCCTATGAACGTTTCCCCCACCGATGGCTGTTTTCTACAATACATATTAAAGTGGGAGTGATGAAAACAAGAAAGCCAGGAGAAACCCACCCTCGCCGCCCCGAGCATCGCCGTCCTGCTACGGAGGCGGCCGGTAGCCCTCCCGGTAATTCCTCCACCCGCTTTTCTTTCATTAACTGTAGTTTCAGGGCCTGAGCTGCCCTCAGCAGGGCTACGGGCGCTCGGCGGAGGCTCCGCCGGAGGAGGAGCCGCCCTGCCCCGGCAGCCCGGGCTCCCGAGGCGGCTCGGCCGCCCCGGGACTCCAGCCGGGCCGGGGGGCGGCCCCGAGCCGGCTCCGGCGGGACCACCCCCCCCCCCCGGCCCGGCCCGGCCCGGCCCCGCCGGGGCGGAGCGAAGCGGAGCGGGGCGGCCCCACCGCCTCCCTCGGCCCCTCGCCCGCGGCGCGACCGAGCCGCTTCCGGGCAGCGGGGCGAGGGGTGGCGCGGAGCCGGCGGCCGCGGTGAGTATCGGCGTCGGGACTGGGGCGGGGGCGTCCCCGCAGCGCGGGGCCTCCGTGGGGCTGGGCCGCGGCGTGGGGAGCCAGCGCCGGTGTCGCCCTCAGTGTCATTCCGGTGCCCTCCGCAGGGGCCCGGCCCCGTGTGTCACCCCAGTCCCCTTCCACAGGGGCCCAGCCCCGCGTGTCACCTCAGCCCCATCTGTCACGCCATCCCCCTCTGTGGGAGCAGAGCCGGTGTCCCAGCGGGTCACCCCTCTTTTGGGGAGATGCTGTCACAGCCCTCCCCTCCCGCCTCCTCCCTCCACGCATAACGGCTCCCGGCTTCCCCACCCGCTCCCCAAATCTCCCCCCTGCCCACGAGCGGTCCCCTCAGCGTGGGTTGTGTGTCACAGGGTGGTGCGTGGTAGCGGCGCAGGGCGCGGGCCTGCGGCAGACGAGCCTCCCTGCCGTGGGATCATCCTTTCCAGGGGAGGAACGCGCCGACTAACTTGGAGGTCAGACAGCTGGTAGCCAGAGGCAGGGATTTTCATTATAAGTATTGATGATTTTTTTAATTTATTTATTGAATTATAAATAATTTATGGTAATTATAATGGACATTGGAGAGGGATGTGAATACTGACTTTGTACCAATATGCAATTAAAAAAAATCACCTGTATGGATCCTATTGGAAAAAGATTATATAAATAGTGTGAAACTACAGAGGAGGGCCAGAGCTAGATAATCCTGCTTCAGTTTACTGGGAGTGGTTTAGAAAATAAGGAGGGGTTAAAAAATAAGGAGCAGAGGCAAGCTTGCAGCAATCAAGACTGAAATAAAATAAGAGCTTGCACTAACCCTTTTTAGAAAATAAGTTTTATTTTTCTTAATGAAGGGATGAAGTGAATATGTGACATGTCCCTGCAATGTGCCTCATGCGATGGGAGAAGAGGTGGCAAATTGAAAGCCAACACTGCTGAGCTGGCTGCGGCAACCTCTAACATCTGGAGGTAGCTTTAATGCAGAATGATGAAATCTCTCATCAAGTTACACGCCAAAGATGGCTGCTGTTTTGAGGAGAGAGCCCCAGCAGCAGGCTCTATCCATTTAACACAGACTGCTGCTTTTGTTGCTAGGCTACAAGCAGGACGTACATTTATAAGGAAAAAAAAAAAAAGTATCTTGTAGTGTTGCTGTGATTTGCCTTCTCCAAAGTTAAATTTGTTTTTATGATTGCAGTAGGAAAAATCATAGTGCAGACAAAGATTTTTTTTATTTTTTTTTTTCCCTTGTGATTTAAATAGATATTTAGTGGTAGAAGCTGCTTTGGGGAAGGAAAACTTGGCAAGTGGCTTTGTTAAGCCATTTGGTGTAAGTACATTGCATCATACTTCTCCTAGTCACCAGCTCTGATGCTTCTTTCAAACTGTGGTAGCAAATAGAGTAATACCATTGCTTAATGACCCCGATGAGTCTGATATGTGCTCTTTTGCCATCACACAAAAATGCTTTCTTCCCCTAAAAATTTATTAGTGCTTCTCATTTGAACTAATTATACTGCCATGATTGACACCTCTGGAGAATGTATTATGTTTGTTTCTTTGCCAGAGCAATTGAAATACAGATAGTAGCTGGGTTTGCCTTTCCACTGTTGCTTTGCCAATGTTTTGTAAAGTTGAATAGGTCACCTTGTACTAATCAGAGTGTAATTAATTTCCTATCTTTTTTCCTAAGCCAACATAGCAGCTGTTGTGGTGGGCACTGCTCATGGAAAAGAAAGATCAGAGTTTGTTTTGGCAAAGAAGCCCCCAAAAAAGCCAGTGTGTTATTTGAGGAATAAAGAGGCCTAACAGGATCCCTAAGTATTTCTCTATTAAAGCAGCATGGGATATGCTTCAAAAGAGTAGCCATGGGCTCCTTGGTTTATAAATATGTCAGAGGAAGAAGAGAAGCTGTTCTTCTCCCAATTTTGTACCAGCAGGTACTTTTCTCAAGCTCAGTTTTCCAGCCTACGTCTCACGTTTCCCAGAACAGGGCACTGACAGCTAGACATCAGACTGTTAGAGGACAGCTTTGAAGAATGGAGATCTAGGGGCCTAAGTATGTCACATCTTTTTTTTCTCTCCTGGTGAATCTGCACATGAAACATTTTCAGCAGCACCTGGCTCTAACTTTTGAACTATTCCTATTCTTTAGGATTCTGTAAGAAAAAGGTATTGCTGTTACCTTCTATTTTTACAGGGTTTCCAAGGAAAAGCCTCGTTCATTTTTCAAAAAAGGAACTCTTAGTTGCCTCTAGGAGATTTTGCGAATTCTGATCTGACCTGAGCACCTTACATCACCTGATGTTAGGGGTCAAAGTCCTGGTAAAGGCCACCATACAAGTTACACCTTTCTTTCAGCATTTGTGTTGGCTGTTACTCACTTGCTCCCCTGTATGCAGGCTGGTTTAAATTATCTTTTAAGCTAGAGTACCCAACATGTCCCCTGCTTTATAATAGAGGGTTGCGGGTTGCAGACTGGGAGTTGGGCACCAATAAGTGAGATGTCGCAATGTTCATTATCACAATTATGCCTGCACTGCTTTTGGACACAGACTTCTCTTTAGACTTCTCCCTCCCCCAGATCAGTTTTTGCTGACTTTCTGAAACTGCATGCAAGAGAAGTGAAAGGCTACTCTCATTAATAGAGTCCACTTCTGTAGGGGAAGGTGCAGGAGGTTATAATCTAGACTCCAGCCCACATAAAAGCAAAAAGCAATGGAAAATTATGTATAGAGAGTGAAGCAGTATCCTGTCTGGTACCTGATCTAAGGATGTTTGCCAAAGGATCCTCACTCAGGACAATTCAGGCATTTGTGTCTGTTGAGGAAAGCCTGCTTCTGGGGTAGTTCTCAGGCAAGTTTCTCTCATAAATTTTCTCTCTCACAGTATAGCACTCCTGGCAACTTAAACTGTCTACATCTCTTGAGGAATGGCCATTAGGGATGCTTCTTGACTCAGAACAGTGACTGTAGCTCTAAAAATGTGTGTTTAGATCAGACATGAAAAATTGGGTTCACAGTTATACCATTAAGAAATTTCTTTTTTCTCTTGCTCTATTCCCAATTTTAGGTTAGATATTGGAAAAATTAATGACATACCTGATGAAGTTTCTTAATTGTGGAGTGGATTTTTTCAAGATTTGGGTTAAAATACAAGGTGTCAGTAACATAAGAAAATATTAATGATTCCAAGGAAGGTGGCAAAACTGCTTTTCATCATTTGTGTATTGCTGCATGAGTTTAAATTGCCCAGAATGTCCCAGATCATGTGCCCATCTGGATTATTCAATCATGCCACAGTGTTTAAAATAAATGATCAAATGCCTGGGCTGTTCAAAATTGAGTGGTATGTTACCGCCTGAAATAAATTAAATAGTCTTTGCTACTCTTTTGGCTACTGCTTTGATTTGAAAAGTGGTTATATGACCTTCAGTGTGATGTTTAAAACATGAACTTTGAAAAGGAGCAACAGAGAGTTGAACTCCTGACAACTTCTGAGTCTGCATTTTGTAGAATTGCTGCAACTGCTGATATTAACCTTTAGACAAGGTTTAAAGTCTTCTGCTATTGCTGGTACTGTGGCAAATCTAAATGTAGCCTTTGTACTAAAACTGTTGATCAGACTTTGTGCTGTTTTTTTATGTAATTATTTTTTAAGAGAGGCCACTCTCACTTATTCTTTAAGCCCTCTTTTTCCCTCCAGTTAACATTAGTATTAAACATTAGACCATGAACTGTCAGATGATTCTATCTGTTCCAAGAAGGCAAAAAATTTGGGTGTGTTTGGTACTGGGGCTTCCAGCTTGGTTCACTGTCACTTTCTGATTTAAATATGAGATGAAAAAGATAGTCAAAGAATTGATTTAAAATAAAGATTTCTTCATAAGGTTATTAAAAACATGGAATTGAGAGTTTCTCTTCAGTTAAACAAAGACCTTATTTTTAGCCATCTGTGAGTTCTATCGTGCTTTCAGCTTGTTTTTATTTTCTGATTACTGGGGCTTGGAGAGCGCTGGGGAGAGATGAGGAGACAGCAGCAAGATTTGTTGAAAGAGTGGTAGGGGCAAGGCTGGCAGTGAAATTGCTTTAAAGTACTTGGGAAGTACAGTTTCACACAGTGGTATCCTCTCTGTGATCTGCCATCTGTATCACCACAGCTAATTGCGTCCAGTCTACAGAACCACAGCTTCAGCGCAACTTTTGGTGCCAAGTACGTGGCAAGCTGTGGCCATTTCTTTAGCTTGACAGTCAAATGTTTATGAAAAACTTTATGAACACACAATTGCAGTTATGATTCTGAAAATATGCCTTGATACATAGAAAGAGCCTCAGTGTGAAGCACATGGATAATCAAACCTCTGCATCAGTGCCAGGGAGCTAAACAGTGCCAAAAATTGTTCCTGGTCACAGGAACGTGGTCCCCTGCATTGTTAACTTGCTGGAGCGTGGCATGGAGCGGTTTTGCTCAGGGCAGCTGGTGCTCACCCAGACAATCCCGCAGCACAAGGGAGGATTTAGCTGCTGTTCTCCATGGACAGTTCGGATACAGCTGCCCTAGTTCAGAAACTGAAAGGGTTTAGTAATATGAATGTACCAGAGAGCATAGTCCATTCTTTATCACTGGTTTAATTTACTAGTGTGGACTATTACCACCTTCAGGGTTTGCAGGTATGAGTGGTTTTATTAAATACATTTCTAACTGATCTGTTGTTTGAAACACTGAAAATATGTATTATTTTCTTCCTTACTGCATATTTTCCCCTGATAGATGTTAATTGTTTGACTGCGTTTATGATGTTGTCTTTTATCCTTTCCAGTACTGCCAATCGGCCCATGTGAACATGATCTCAGAGTGACTTTTCCGTATGGATCATTACAATAACTTACGTGTTTGTAAAATTAATGTTGTTTCCCAAGTCCTCTGTTAATAGAGTTGTTTGAGAAAGAGAGTTGTTGCAAGATTGGGTAATTTTGCTGCTTACCTTTCCTGTTGATTCAGAGTTTTGTCCTATTTCACAGGTGGTCTCTCCTCTGTTGGTACTTACTGAATAGCAACAGGTGTGGGAACAATAAATGCAGATATTTATATATAGGCAATTAAGTGTTAGGTAGTTGTGGAAGTTTGCCTTCATTAGTTGAGTGTAACAAAGCAAACATTTTTATCTTTGTTCTAGAGGATTTGTGCATTTACTTTTCAGTCCCTTTGCAAACTCTCTACTTAGCTCAGATGGATTTATTTTAATTTGATTTAACTCAAATGTCCTTTATTTTTTCTTTACACAATTCTATTATGGATATATGGATATTGAGAACCTAAATCTTGGGCACACTTAATATATATGGAGAATTATATCACAGAGGGTAGTGGAGTTACACCCTTGACAAAGTATTGTAGTTAAAATAATAATTAAATCTTAAATAGTTTTATTACAGTGTTTTTGTTATTGAGTATTTGAATGCACTGTGCAAATAGCAACACCCATCTAAAATTGTATCTGAAAGTTAAGGTGACAGCTATGTAAAATACTGTTGCAGCAACTTCAGTTGAGGGTGTTGTACCTATTCCTTGCAGTTTTACAGTCTCACTCTTTAAATAGAACATACAGTTTTAAAAAGCCATACAATTTATGATGATGACTGCATGGCTGTTGGATAATATATTGATGAAACCATTTTTGTGCAGTCACCATTTTTACTTTGTAATCCCTTCAAAGGGATCCCTTCAAAGTACAAAGGCATTTTACTGGCTTATGTTTTGCTTTATGGGATTTATTTCCCTTTTCAGCATTTACTAATAAGGGCCTGGTAAGTCACGAGTAGCATCATGCAGTCTCTTTAATACAAGAAGTGCGGCTTTTATTCTAAAAATATTTTGCCAGAAAACTTGTAAGTTTTCAAGACAGAAATTCACTGGTTCCCTTAGACAGGCACCACTGTAGCAGGTCTATGACTCAGAGTCCCGAGACTGGCAAACTGAACAACTTTTTTTACTTCACTTCAAGTTTTATGTGTCTCCAAATTATTTTATTCCAGTGTCTGAACTTTTTATGCTCCCTTCTAGGCATGACGTCTGTTCCTTCTCCGTAGGCATTGGTGGTCTGTCCCTGCCCACAGTCTGTATGATTTTTATTTTAAATTTATTTAGAACGGTATTGTTCCTACATATATTCTTAAAGTGCAAGTCAGTTATGTCAGTCACATCATTCAGAAGGAAATTTTTTTGTGTACGTAAATAGCTGTCACCTAAAGTTTTGGCCCCTTTTTGCATGAGATCTAATCTTTTCCAGGGTGAACACCTGTCCCATCCCCCCATCCTATGCAGTATTGGAGGCTACATACTATCCTTTATCTTTATTAAGATTATTAATATTAAAGTCAATGTTTTCTGTTGCTATCTTTCTAAACAGACATAATGATTTCAAGCATGATCTTTTGTTGTAGCACATGCCAAGGGTTCTCCATTAACGTATGTTTTCCATTTTCTTGCTAGGTTGCTTTTTGCTGCTGCAGCACTAACCCTTCTTTGGTAGATTTACAAGGAGAAGGAGAGACCAAAGCATATGCTGACAAGTTTCTGCTAGCTTAGTCTGGCTAGCATGGGTAACAGCAGTGAGAAAGGCATGGAAAAGGAGTGGTTGTGTGTTGTCTTTGGTGTGCTTTTGCTCAGCTAGCTTGTGGTACGGGTCACCTTGTCTACTCTCTTCCCTTGACTACTTAGATCGTGTTAGCTCTTTCTACCATCATACCTTTTTTTTTGCTATGTAGACACACAAGGACTTGGAGTTTTTCCAGTTTACAGCAAGTTAGGTCTCTCTTGCACCTATTTTCTTGGTCCATAATATAGACTTCCAATCTCTTGACTCTGGTAAGCCAAAACATTTAAAATTATCTATGCTTTATGTTTCTTGTTCATTGTCTTCCCTGCAGATTTAAGGCTAGGCTTCAAGATTTTCATTATGCTTCACTCCTCTGCATCTGCAGATCCTGAACTTGAGCAAAATGGTAACGCATGGTGGTTGCAGGTTAGTCTGTTGAAGGAGAATGGGAGTGCAGACCTTTTGTGCTCCCAGACCACCTACTGTGCCAGTTCAACACACTAATCCAGGAGACTGAGTTGGCTTCTCTTTTCTTTCTACTGCATTAGTTTTCTGCTAGGGTGCTAGGTTATATCAGCACCCATGGTTCAAGGAGCATCAGAGCGGACACAGAGTAGATCAAGTGGACAGAGGATAAAGATAGGACATGAAGGTGGTAAGTCTGATATTTTCCCTAGATCCACCTTCGCTGGGGTGGTCTAAGTGAGAATGGAGTGAAACAATCCTGAATTGAACCATCTGCAGTGAAGGTAGATCTTTATTGTTTAGATTTCTTATTACTAAAGGACTTGGTTTTGTGAACAGTGATACCATAAGTTTATAAACACTATTCACAGACAACCCAATAGTATATATGCTAATCAGAGTGAAAAGAATTAAAAGAGCTTCTATTTATGGACTGCTTTATTAAGCATTCATTAAACAGCTTGAAACAGATTAACATAAGTATCCTAAGCAGTTCTTATTCTTAATGAAACTGATAATTTAATTGTAAAAATATTTAAACTTGAACTATGCTACAAATAATATACCAATAGGGAAGGATTCATAGAACGACTTACCAACTCTAATGTACAGGTTTGATTTTATTTTTTTTAAGTGGAAAAGAATTTTTTAATAAATGAGTTCACCCTGCTTTCATAGGGTAGTTTTGCAAAACCAGCAGTTACCTTTTTAGAACAGAAGATGGTCTGGTTTTCCACAGTGTATCACTGTTCGTGGGTGGGTGTTTTTAATGGTATAGTACTAAGAAAGGGAAAAGAAATCTAAGGACCATCTTCTATTCAGACACCCTGCATTAGAATTCTGTTCTCCAAATCTGTCCTGAGTCTTTTTTTCATTTCCATGATCAGTGTTCATTCTGGAACATGCCTGGTGAGAAATGTGTCCCATGAAAATAATACTACTAATCCACAGGTGTCTTCTTGCTGTGGTGTTTGAAACTGTTTCATAACTGTGTAAATACTTATAGCAAATTACAACACGGAATAGAAAGGCAAGAATACTCAAATGGAAGAGAGGGATGAATTATCTGCTTCTTACCCAGCACCTTTACATCTCTCTTCATTACTTTTGTGAAATAATAACTTGTGTCTTGCCATATCAGCAGTACTTAGAGCACAGGTCAGAAGTTTAAGGTTCTGCTGTCATTTGTGACTTGACCTATGGTCTTGAGTCAAGTTATGTTATTTGTTTGTTTCTTTTACCTGTGTGTGGGGAGAAGGATGCTCCTTAACAGTGCTAAAAAGCTGGTAACACCTCTAAATGTCATTGGCATAAACTGCAAAAAAGAAGTGTTAGATTTTACTAGTCTAATGTCAGTTATTTATAATTCTGATACAAATGCCCTCATGCTTCAAGATTAATTTAGTAAATGATACATTGCTACAGCATCTTATTTTCTTGATGTTTGTAAGATTTATTGTTTCACTGTAGGGAAATCCTGTCTCAGCATATAGTAAAGACCTTAATAAAAGCTGCCATACAATAATGAACTTAACAGTGAGGGAAATGGGAGTGGAAGGAGGGGGAAAAGATTTGTTTCCCCTACTGTATCATGTTTATTAGCCTTCTAGTATCCTGGGAAGCCTTAGGACCTTTCCTAACTTGGTGGTGAAACTTTTAAGATCTGAGGGTAGTTGAATCACGACTGTATTTACTTCAAGTTGGAGCAGCAGTGCTGATGCTCCTTGTATACTTGCTTTATACTTACTTATTTGAGTTAATGACTGCAAATTTTAATGCACAAACAGGCCTTTGGAACAATAGTTTTTCTTAAGGTCTCTTGTACCGAAGAAAAACTGAAAGCCACGAGGGAAAAATGGCATAGTGAAAGAGCAAGAAAGTGTATTTAGTAGGTCAGATCTAATATTAAATAAATTTATCAATGTTCATTTTAATCACTGAAACACACACTTGGCTGCTATTTCTATGTAGTAGTGGATCAATGTTTTTTAAATATTCATAACATTCACTAAAGACAATCATCATATTCTTCTGTTGCAACTCACAGTGCTATTTTAACAAATTAAAATTATGCAATAACTTACTGCAGCAAGTAGCTCATATTCCATGTAGTATACACCTGATGGGAAAGAAGACAAAAATTATAACTACCTGCTCTCTAAATTTTCCGGACATCAGGAGAAACTCAGAGCTGTACTGGCAAAGCAGAGGTGTTTGCCTTCAATAAACAATTACTTGATAAACAGCTGTTTGCTGTTTTGCTGTAGGAGTCTTCATTGTACCCAGGGGTTCAGAGCTGCTGGTTGGGGTCAGGGCCCAGTGAACAGAGCTTTTTAACTCTTGAGGAATGGGTGAATCCAGCTCTGTGTGCTCAGTTCTCAGTAAGGTCGACACTGGTCATAAGAAGGTCTTCATTTGTTAGCAGAAAATGGATTTATTTCATCATTTGTTCTGGTTTCACATAGCCATACAGGAGGACTGCACTGGATGGAGAGAGGTATAGAAAACCCCGGTCTTGTGATTTCAGATGGTCACATGTTTTTAACATTACCGTTTTCTGGGGATGCTTTGGTATATTTTCCTTTATCCAACTATTCAAAATGATTTATGCTTTTGTCAAACAGCTGGGGGGGTGTTAATTATTGCAATAAAAGCTGTGAGAGCTTAGACTGATTTGGGAGTCTTTGAAACAACCTTGAACATGATGACTTGGAATAGAAACTGGGAATTTTAAACTTGTCTGGACTTGAGCATTTAAGAGCTTAATACACGTTATCAGGAAAAAACAAAAGCAATTCTACTGGGGTCCTACCTGCAGCCTGTGCCCTCAGTTCATGATTATCCAGAATTCAACAATATTTGTAGAAACACGGCTTGGTTTTACACAATTGCTCTCTACAGTGCAAAGGCAAACAGCTCTGCTTTGCCAGTACAGCTCTGAGTTTCTCCTGATGTCAGGAAAATTTAGAGAGCAGGTAGTTATAATTTTTGTGTGATTTTTAACCAAATTGATTTAGCTTGTGTAGAATTCAATAATAAGATCTGTTCTATAGAAATGGAGATTATTTGTTCAAGGAAAAGCTTGAGTCTGGTTGAAAGCAGAGATGTTTCGTATTTTATGCTTTTCTTTTTTCACTGTTCTATCAGAAATAATATAAGCTAAACATAAAAATTATACATAAACATCCCAAAAGCTTTAGGTTTTTAATAAAAACTGAGTATTTAACTTAAATAAACTTTAATTATCAGTAAATGTACTAGAAGAAGGATGTTTTTATTGTGGCACCAAATTAGGATTTTCTAATCATTTTTAACACTTACTTAGTAATACTAGTTGAGATAGGACATTTTCATTATTCAGCTGTTAATCATGCTGTGATTGTGAAGGGCAACCCTTCGTTATTATTTATTTAATCCATTCTGCGTTATCAAAGTTTGGTGCACTAGCAGTAGGTTACTTTGCTTTCTTCATTACCACAAGTGGGACTTGGCCTCAAATACTCAGCAGTGCTGAGTAGAATGTACTTGCCAAATCCTCTTTAAACATTGCTTATCTTCACATATAATGCAGTGACTCTGAATTTTTGCAACCTTATCTTTACAGCTTTATAATCATGTCTGGTGCTCAGTGTTATCATGCCTATGCATACAGTTTCTATTGAGTTCATGAGCAAGTGCGACATTGAGAACTTGTGCCATCTGAATGTCATCGGTGGTTCTTCCTGGCAGATCATATATTAGAAAATCAAATACTTCCCTTACTGGTTGTATGGTACACCATAAAATAGTATGTGTCCGCTAGGTTTTCATTGTCATTAAATCACAGTAATAATAACCACAGAAGTCATAAATAAGTCATGCTTGTGCTATTACATAAGCATAAAAATGCGAAGTCTGGGTAAATGCAGGGAAGACAGTCTTTTCTCTGAATAATTCCCACTCTAAGAGCAATTCTGAATGATAAGTGGTTCAAGGCACAATAATTTTATACAGTCCTCAACTGCTTAAAAAGTTGATTTCATGGTTCCTGAGAGAGTTGTTGCAAAGGTGTATAATAGTTTGGTGTTGGGTTTTTTTGCTAGAAATACTAATCTGTAGTGTCTTCTAAATATTTATTAGTTTCTTCTTCCTTCCTGTTGCTTAGAGCTGCCTATTTAGGACTGGTTATGATAGATGGGAAGACTTAAGCCTTTATCTCTGTAGAAGTTTACTTTTCCAAAGATCAAATCAATCAAAACGTTTCAGACAACTTCATGGTGGTCTTGAGTTAAAATAAAAATACTACTCAGCGGCAGATTACACCATAAGTATCAGTTGTCCTTATAATGGTGATGTTTTTCCTATTAAAACAGATAAAATTATATGTGATATCATCTGTATTTTTAGAGATCAAATTTACTTCAGCCATTTGAACTACAGGCATTATATGGAGGATGGTGGTTGGTTGTTTTTTTCACTAGCTATTGAATATGTTGCAGAAATTCTTCTTAAAGTTCCTTTAGCTTGTGCTATGCAGGGACTGTCGTTTCAATAGATGAAAGACTGAAGTAAACTTAGTCATCCTGAAGTAATTTTTAATTTTCTGGGCTTTAGGCCGATAAATGCACAACTATGTTAGTTCAGTGCCCTTCACTGTAGTTCTTTAACCATCTTTGAAGTATCATTAGGAGATCTGATCATGTGTTCATAATGTGGCAAATTGTTGCATTATGTAATCTTTGTTTTGTTAAAACATGGATTTAGAGAGACAACATTTATTAAAATGAATTATTGGGTTTGTGTTCCTAATTTTTGTTTTGTTTTGCTATGCCAGAGAAGTTAACTGGATTTTATTAATAAAATATTTTATTAAATATTTCTTCTGTCATGACACTTTGTGACAGCTCTTCAAGCACATCTTGAAATACTGAATTTCTCCTTCACTTTAAGACACTATTTTCAGCAAACACTAATTCATCACTGAAATAAAGCACACTTCTGATTAGTATATTGTTATATATTAATAAATTTATATACTTCTTTGCATCTGCCTCATTCTCAGATATCTGTACATGTATATGATGTAACTCTACCTCATAATCAGATACTCATACTCTTGCAAAGATGTAATGTATAAATGTCTTGGGGAAACAGGCACAGAAACATGACTGTAGACATCTAAGTTCTTGCTTTTTTACTTCTGTCAGTACCAAACTAATTAAAACCCAAGATGATAATATATCATCTGCTTTCTGGATACATACTTGCCCCTTTAAACCTCAGTTCTGCAAGTTGTTTGGTGTTTGTTCTGGTTTTTTAAGCATAACCACCTTTCATCTTGCAAGTTATAGATACGTTATGAAATAAGTGGAATTCTGAGTTGCAAATTTTCACATTTTCTTCACAGAGTTTTTGAAAATGTCAGCAGATATACCATTAAATATTAACATCAAGGAGCCTCGATGGGATCAAAGCACTTTTGTTGGACGAGCCAGTCACTTCTTCACTGTAACAGACCCCCGGAATATTTTGCTATCTGATGCCCAACTAGAAAATGCAAGAAAAATTGTGCATGATTACAGGTATGGCATTGATAACTTGTACTGCTGGCCCAAAGGATTCCATGTCAATGATAAGTACATGGTTGTATATTTAAAAGGAAATATTTAACACACTGTATTCATTGTACCACTCTTTATTCTTATTTCAGAGCTTGAACCACTTTTTTTTAAAAACAGATTTGCTAATTAACGGGGAAAATATGTCATCTGAGAACCCCTATTAAGTATTCTGAAATACAAAAGTGTCTAATTCTGAAAATAGTTAGTATGACAAAAGAGTTTAAAACTTCATCTTATCTGTTATATTGTTTGGAGCAAGTAGTTTTTTAAATACTGATAAAGTAAATTTTCGAAGTTTAATGCTAATGACTCAGAGATTTTACCTCTAAAACCTAGTACAGGTTTGAGTAAATAGAAATTTGGTGCTGGATATATTGATTCAGCCAACATAACCACCGCTGTGAGTTTTGATTCTTTTTACTTCACCAGTCCATTTAAAAGCTGAGGATCTACAAGCTAACTATGAGGCTAGATTAACTTAGTATGGACATCCCAAAATCCTCTGATGCCACATTTGTCACTGGAGTTTGCACCATTTTATAAAAGCTGTGCTTTTTGCTGTTGTCTTGTTTTGTTTTTTAACTTGTCCCAAGGCAAGGTATCGTGGCACCTGGCTTGACAGAAGATGACTTGTGGAGAGCAAAATATATCTATGATTCAGCCTTTCACCCAGACACTGGTGAAAAGATGGTCTTGATTGGCCGAATGTCAGCTCAGGTACCCATGAACATGACTATCACAGGTTGTATGATGACCTTTTATAGGTAAGTGATGTCTATATAACACATAAAGCATTTGCCTACAAATTAGATAAGTGAAAATCATTGTTATTGTCAAAAGAGCATTTTAGATTTATGATAAATATTTTAAAATGTAAAATTTTGCTTCCTTTTCTCTCTCTGCATTCCCTCACGCTGATTAATGGTTTCCTCTAGAAGTAGTTGTGAGATAAGCCCTTAGCCCCTCTCTTTCACCATCTCACTTTTCCTCAAACTGGGAAAGTTGAATGTTCCAAAATCCCTTCCATGTGGGAGAGTTATGTGGAAGACAAAGAGGAGGAGATACATGGGAATTTCTACCTTAGAGATCTGGCATGTAGGATGCTCTGTCTGCCAAATGAGTACTCATTATGCTTTGGTCCATAAGTCATCGAGTTTCTTCAACTCCTGTTTGATTCTTCTATTTCCTCAATAGTTCTTGAATCACCAATACAGTGAAGTCCACCAAAGAAGCCAGGATCATCTGTTAGCAGACTCCGTGTTAGAAATATTTTTGTGACACAATGCTTTGTTAGCAAGAGCTGGTGGGAGGTTCAGTGGAAATAACAAGGTTTTTTGATGCTAAGATTTTACAGATTCTTGGCTCGCACTCCAGAAAGGCACAACTGCTTTGAATGATGCATATATGTGTGTGTGTTTTTAAAAAACAGTCAAGAATATGAATAAAACAATCAGTACAGCTGCCCATTCACAAGCACTGCTTCCTGTTAACTGCTTATTCTATTATGCACGTTTTGTTATTATCTGTAATACTTAAAATAGCTATATACCATTTCTTCGCATTATCAGTAGTTGCTCAGATTCAAAACTAGGTGATTTATTAGCCTGGAAGACATCGGTTTCTTTGGAAAAAACCCTCAGCAGTACAAACAGGATCGTGTAGAAGTCCTTGGATGATGCAGTGTAGCATCCATCTTTCTGCATGTCACTGATTATTGCTGGCCACTGGAAGAAGTAAATTCCTCATTACACCTGTGAGGGCTCTTGGGTGTGCAGTAAGGCAATATGAGTCATGCCTAAACTTTATAGTAGGCTTAACATCCTCTACACAACAGTAGTGAGGAAACAGGAAGGATGAGACAGGAAAAGAGTTGTATATGCACAGGAACAAAAGAAGAACAACAGCAGTAGTGATGGAAACCCGGGGGAATAAGAATATACTTTAAGATCTCCTGAATTTTTCAACCTTTTGCAATTTAAAGAAATAACATATCTTCCCATTTCAGAACCAAAGCCTCATGGTAGATGCACACCTTCTATTCTAGCATCTCCTCTTTGGCTTCCTGCCTATTACAGAATAATTGGTATAACTACTGCTTCTTCTTTAGCACTCAATTTCCATATCAGCCCTCCAGTGAGAACCACAATCCTGTTACCATTACTGTGTTATTAAATAATTTAATTAAGTATAAGCTTTAAATTTTTATGAAAAGTTATTTTAATGACCAGGAAATAGTTTTCAGTAGCAGCTGTTACTTTTGGTGGCCTGGTTCCCCTCACAAATTCTGGTGGAGCAGAATCTTCAGTGGTGTTGCCACTGGGGGCAGAGTTTGTGGTCTGATTATGCAAAAACCCACTTTTTTCCCTAGTATACTCTAATAGCATCCAGCCATTTGTCGGTCAGGAACTTCCTAAACAGAGATAGCGTTTTATTTAATGGCCCTTAGTAGATTTCTTTTTCATAAGTCTGTCCCATTGTTTAGATATACTACTGGTTTGAGGGCAAAAGCATTCATCCTGCCACAAGACAGCCCCAAACATTGTGAAACAAATTGACTGTCACTTTTGTTACTTGTCAGTATAACCATTTGCAAAATGGTTATATCTGCAGTTTAACAGGGACCACATTAGTTTCTTAAATGGGGACTCTGCAACTTTTACAGAATATATTTTTTTCACTGCCCCCCACCCATGCTCACAAGTAAGCACTTTTGTCCTAAGACATCTGCGTACAAGCACTGACGTAGTTTATGAGAATTCCTTGGAGCTCTTATTCTTTTTTCTGATGACTGGTCACCTAGTTCATGCTGTACCTGTACTTCTTAAACATGCAGATATTTTAATGAAAATAGTTTTTCATTTTGGAGTTAAGTGTCTTTTAATCTGGCTCTACATGCAACTGAATACTTTAATGTCACAGAGTTTTATTATAACAATTGCATCATATTAGCCTTTTGAAGACTGAGAGGATAAATCCTGTCTCATAAAATTCACCTCTCAGTCACTTACAGAGCTTCCAAAGAGAACCAGCGGACTGCAAAGGAATAACCCTTGAAAATTATTCTAGAAATTAGAGCATTTCATATTTCTCTGTGTGTTTTTTATAGAGAGGTTTGCTATAATACTTTTGTTATTGCAACAAATTGTTGTCCCACGTGAACCCTGCTATTTAATTACAGTGCTTTTAAATTATATTCTTAGAAGTAGTAGTACTTAAATTGTCAATCCAGTATCTTATTGACTGTATTGTTTCATTCAGATAAACAAGTATCTCTGCATTATTGTTGCTTGCACTGGCTTTTCTGGATTTGCCATCATTTTTCTGTGCTGCTGATTTAACTGTGTGTTTAATAAAAATAATGATAATTGTTTCTTTTTTCAAGAACAACACCAGCAGTGGTTTTCTGGCAGTGGATTAACCAGTCCTTCAATGCTATAGTAAATTACACAAACAGGAGCGGTGATGCCCCTATTACTGTCAGGTCAGACACTGAACCACGTACTTCCAATGTGTTTAGAAGTTGCTGTCTGATGTACTGGAACATGTTTGGTCTTTAAAGTTTGTGATAGAGGAATAAGTTTATTCATCTATGCTGATGAGAAGTCTGAGAACGATAGAGGCAAGAAATCCATTTCTGCCCTTAAGATAAGCCTAAACACCTTGATCATAAGCCCTTAACGGCGTAGGATTTAATAGGAGTCTGGGTGCATTGCTCATCAACCATTTGAAAGTTTGGTGTTACACCGGGATATTTCTAAGTTGATATTTTGTGTGGACCTTCAGCTGTTTCTGTACCATCTTCTCAGTGCCCTACAGTATAGCACACACCACACTATGTGCTTATTTACAAAAAGAGTATGCTTCAAGGAACTGGTCTGTGCAGTACTTGTTTCTTCTTGAAGGCAAAGAGTGAGACTAAATAGATGCCGAAAGCTAGAAATCATGAATAGGAGACTGGAACTGCAGTGCTTGACTTTCTGGTTTTGAGGCTGACTTGCTTATAGATACCCAGGAGAAAGCAGTGGATTTGAGATTATACAGACACCTCCTAGCTGGGAAGTATGTAAAGTATGTTTTAGGGCAGACTGGGTTGGATTTGGGTGTTTGCAGCATAGCTAGTCTATATGTATGAGTTTTGGTATAGCTGATTTCAATTACTTTTGTAAACATGGCCTTAGAAATACAAACTGATTGTATTAGTTTAAGCAATTGGGAAATTAAATATAGAATTAAATCCTTCAAGGTGTTCATTCAGACACATACAAAAATGCTGAACAGATAGCAATGCAGAACGAGCAGAATTTGATTCAATGTTAAGATGTTGCTTGCATGGGATTTTTATTGCTAGTGAAAGGTGTTTCATTTAGTGAATCTTCCATCCGCATCTTATTGCAGTATCACAGAAATGTTTACTTCTTTTGCAGGGGTGTAAATACATGTGTAAAACGCAATTATTTTTAAAAGTGACATAAAGGTAGTTGTGCATGTGCAAACATTTTTATTTTTGTTGTAGCCAGCTGGGAACAGCCTATGTTTCTGCTACCACGGGTGCTGTTGCAACAGCTTTAGGACTTAATGCACTAACAAAGGTATTGCTGATATTTTTTTCCATTCTTAACTAGACTTTGGTGTTCTAGGAGATGCTAACAGCTCATTTCTCCTGTGTATCTGTGTCACATTGTGCACAGCTCCCAGTATGGAGTTGTAATAGCCTCTGACAGCTCCCTTCTTTAGATCCCAACCTTATTTTTGCCCCATACAGATGGTTTTATATGTATTTCAAACATCCTGTCCTTCTTATATGTATATCAAACAGCTGTATGTCTTATTAATACAAAGTGTATCTAATAAGGTTCCTTTTGCAATTTCTTTTTTACATGTCAAAGTGTTTAATAGCATTTGAAAGTTAATTGGAATGGATATGTAATTACAACAATGTGGACTCATTATCCCATAAACTATATAGGTGTGTTTTTAAGGTGCAGTATCACTTCTGCAAATGTGGATACCTACTCTAGACTGGCTGAGGAACTTGTAAGGAGGTGCCACTCTTAAATACAGAAAAATTAAATTCTTTAAACAAATGCACAACACAATCAAAAAAAAAAGGTCCTTTACCAAAAAAAAAAAAAAAGCGTTTAAGTGTTTTGTACTCCTCTGCTTATGCTTTAATGTATTAGGAATGGTATAACATTGAAGAGTTGCTTGAAAGACTGTTCTAAACAGAGTAATTAAGATTATGCAAGACATTGACTAGATGAATAGCCTCTATAGTCAGTGTCTTTAGATGCAAAGCAGCTGGTATGGATGTTGCTGGCTGTGACCTTGCCAGCAGAGACAGTAAAGGTCTACTTAGTGTTGCTCTTGGGCTGACAGGCATGCTCAGAAACTGACATTTCTCTGCAGTGATGCTACTAAATTAAGATTGGTTTTGCCAGTCTCCTGCCACTGCTCGCTCTGAGAGAAGTGCTTATGACTTATGTCTTGTTTGTTGTTTTACCTCTGCCCCACCACTGAGTTTTCATTGGACTTTAATTTAAAGGAAATAAGTTTGGTGTATCATTAGCACATGAAGCATTTTAATATGATCTTTGGGAAAGAAAATCATTATGTAATTTTTTTTTTCTTTTTTTTTTTTTTCTTTTCCTTTTCTCTTTTACAGCATGTCTCACCTCTTATAGGACGGTTTGTTCCTTTTGCTGCTGTTGCTGCTGCTAACTGCATTAATATTCCACTAATGAGACAAAGGTAGGAAAAAGAACAAAGATCACTTTTTCTACAGTAAAAGATGTTATTGAGTTTTTTGTCCAGCGAGTTACTAAATAAAGCACATTATATATCCTTAGCTTGTTTCAGAACCTTGCAAAAACTTCATGAGTGATCTTGTTTTGATTGATTGTGATAGATATAAAATAGAACATTCTCTTCAGATAAATATCCATAGAGTTCTTCAGTCTTAGATCTCAGAAACCAGGTACTGGTCCTTCAAAACTTGGTCACATGGACCCTTTAATACAGATTCCACTTTGGAAAAATACAGTCATTTCCAAAATGGTGCTTCAAATCCCACATGCAGAAGTTAGTCATAGAAGTCAGGCTGTGCAGTTCCCTTTAATCATAAAAATATGCCCTTTCTCAGAAGCAAAATTTCATATGTATTCTGATTTGACTAGGACTAAGAATAGAAGTGGGGGAAAACAAATTAAAAGCATCCTCTCATAAACACAAGGTTATGGGCAGAAAAGCAAATATTTAAGGTTTGTATTTACAATTAAATTCAATCCATGGTAGTATGTTATCTCTTATGAAAGATGAGAAGAATAAAGGCAGTATATCTGCCTCAGTATATCTCAGTATATCTGCCCTTTTGTCTGCTTCTCACTCCCCAAGAAGTTCTCCCCAATATGTGAGTTTAACACCTAACCCTGCACATGAGCAAAAGATCTAATAGAGAATAGTATAGTTACAGAAATGTAGTTTGTTTTGTGCATCCTTCTGTACTTTCAAATATGTTCTTAGCGGTTGAAATGGAAACAAAGACTAAAAGGCCAGAGGGGAATTTTCACAAAGATTTCTATTTTAGTTCACTGAAACTAATCTTCTTGTATTCCCTGCTTGTCAGAAAGGACAGACTACTTCCAGAGCAGTCCAGAAAATTCCACTTTTCTGAACTGATGTTTGAAGGAACCTCTCCTTTCTGTGGACTACAGAAATAACACATCTCCTTTCTTCCCCCTTGGAATGCATGTGACCAGGCTCAAGTGGCAGATTGCTGTTACAAATATTCAGTTGTTTACTTTTCAGCATATTTTTCGCCAGATCTTTCTCTGCCTTTTGAAATATTTGTGCCAAAGAGTGTTACAAACAGGCTAACTTGGAAAATAAAATAAAAACATAATTCTTATAATTGAGAAGTTTAAGGGGACAAAGATAAGGTGACAAAAAAAGGTGAATAAATGCATGTCAGTCACTGCTTTATTTTCACCTCTTATTCAACAGGGAACTTAAGTTTGGAATCCCTGTCACAGATGAGAACGGAAACAGACTGGGTGAATCGACAAAAGCAGCTCAGCAGGCAATTACCCAGGTTGTTATATCAAGGATTCTTATGGCTGCTCCTGGCATGGGTAAGAACAACTGCAGTCATGTGCAGCTCCTGATTATCAGTTCATTATGTGAGAGGGCACTTAAATTCTATATCAGTGATTTTTCTGAGAGGCCAAATTATCTCACAGTTATGCAGGCAGTATTTACGTTTCTATTAGAAAGTTCCACAGAGAAATATATGGTTTTTACTATGAAAACATCCACAGTGTGTTACACTGAAGTGCAGCAGAAAAGCTCCTGGGATGCTTTTGCAGAAAAGATAGAGATATCAAAGGAATAATAGCAAATTCTAGTTGAATGGAATCGGTTTAGTGAAGAGTAGATGCTTTGACCAGTGCCAAGTTACTGAGCTGACGTTTATCTTCGTGTGAAATGAGAAGTTTTGCTTCTTGGGAGAATTTACCTCTGTAAATACTGATCCACTATCTTGCATTGGCAATGTGAAATGAAAGCTCAGTTAATGACAAAACACTGAGAATTGTACTATGGGATTAGTTCATCTTAACAGAAAATGAAAACAAAGTGCCTTTTTCTCCAAGGTTAATGCTTATTTTTTTCTATTCTCATTTGCAGCGATTCCTCCCTTCATAATGAATACATTGGAAAAGAGAGCCTTTTTAAAGGTTAGTCTTAGATAATATTTGTATATGCATTTCATATCCTAAATTAATATTTTAATGAATTTAAAATAATTTCTGAGTCTTCATATTTGCCTCCCACACAGTCTGGAAGGACAGCACTGTAGAGCTTGCTTTACAGCTGTCCCTTTCTTTATGCCTTTCTTAGACAGAGATAGCTTGGTTCTTTTTATCGCAGTATAACATAACAATAAGAAAATACAAGCTTTTTTGTTACCTTTATAATTGTTCTTAAAATGCAGAGTTCCTCCTAATAAATAAACCTTCCTTATACTGAGACTTGGAATATAGTTTATGAGAAAAATATTGAAAATTTTAATAATGCTTTTTTCTCAGGATAGCGGTAAGAGGGCTTTACTTAGCTGCTGTAGTAGCAATTTGGCTTTTGGAAACAACAGTGATGGTAAAAATCTCTTTCGAAAGTGATCCTTTAAAATTTATTGCATGAGCAAGTTCAGGGTAGACATGGAATGGGCATGTTTCATCAAAGATTGCTTATTTCCTACATTCTGTTTATGCTTATGTAGTGTGAAGTGAAACACCTGGTATTAGTAAATATATCAACTAAATCAACATTTTGCACTGTGTGTGTATGAGAGGGGAAAGAACAATATTTAAATTAATTGTAGGGTTGTCTAACACAAGGGAAATATTATTCAGATGAAGAGCTCTATAATTCTTTACCATTAAAGGGAGTTTCATCTTCACCAGCTGATATCACTGATTTACCTACTGCATAGCTCCAGGCAAAGTCTCCACCTGTGAAACCCACCCACCAAGCTGGGAACAATAGCCTAAGAGACTCTGTCTCCTTCCTGTTAGAAAAAGTTAGGAAAAGAAAGCCTGTTCTGAGTCTCCAGACCCTCCCTTGGAAAAGTGGTTTGGGTGGGGACTGGGAAGACAAGCAGGGGAAGTTGCCTTGTTTTGGTTGTCTAGCATAAAGCTTTCTAAAATATTTAAATTATATTTCTTATTATTTCTGCCCTTTGTTTTTCTTGTGCAGAGTTTAGATTACCCACTTACATACAGCATTTGAAAGTGCTTCTGTGTGTATAAATGAGGCATTGGGAAGAGGTCCCAAGTGTCTTCCAATTTTAAAAACTTTTTTCCTGAAGTGCTTTGCTTCCCTCCTCCCTTGTTAACAGAAGACACTGTTGCTCAGAATGTAAAAACGGGAAATGTGGCATTTGAGTTTTCAGAGTGAAAGTCAGTGTGTGCTGCTTATCTCCTGAAAGAAGTGCGACTACAGTGCATCCAAGTACACTATTTGTCTGCAGCATAGAGGCACCTATACTGATTTGACTGTTTCTTAATTGCTGATTTTTTTTTGACTCATACTCTGTTTGCAGAGTAGCTTTTAGCAGCTTGTGATACTGTTATGTTCTTGAGAATGTATTATCTGAACATTAACCCTTGTTTTAAAAAAAAAAAAAGTTAATTTAGAGGATTATTTTTTATGTATTTGACATGGGAGAAATGTCACAAATGCTATTAACTCAACTGGCAAATAGATGACATTTGTGAAGACTTGCAGCAACCCTCAGGGTTTGGAGACAAATATCTATTGTTTTTGTGTGGTATAATCAATATAAGGGTGTTGTGAATTTTTCAGATCAGCAAAAATGAGCGATTTCTTCAGTGACTACTCAGTGGTCTTTGGTATCATCATGACCGTTTATGCTCACCTGTTCCTCCCCCTCAGCCTCAAAGACTGTGAGTTCAGGTGAAACACTGCTCTGCAGGTAGTCAGTGGTAACACTTGGTAGAGATTAGTATTAAAACCATTAAGGAATGAGCTGCATTTTTAACACGCAGCTTCTGCATGTCCTCTTGAGGTTTCAGAAGCACCATCCCATTTGCAGTACTCCAACACCATCCACGCAATGCTTTACTAACTCATTATTCTTAGCCTTTGCTTTGCACACCATCACTCTTGAAAATAAATCTTGTGTGCTTGCCAAAGCCTATTAAGCCACACACAAGGCCAGAAAATAGGCAAACGGTTGTGAAGTAATTAAGAAAATAGAATGATGTCCTGCAGTAAGTTAAAGAAATGTCAGTCTCAGTGGTAGCAGGCTATCATCCTCTGATATTTGAAATATGTAGGTCATGTAGTACTATCCATCCCCCATATTCCAACATTGTTTTGCACAAGGGCATTTGGATGATAACATTGGTATGAATTAACAGTCTTCCCAAACATTATTGCTAGAAAACATTAATATTTTTAGAACACAAACACATACTTACTGCTTCAAAAAGAATCTAGTTATTGCTTGACTTGAAAACATATTTTTGTGTATATATATATATGTGTGTGCTTTTGCTATAGGTTTCAGTAGTGACTTTGGCTGCCTTTTATGCGATCATACAGTGTAGAGTTCTTGATTAGACTGTATAATGTCTATGTTCGTTATCCCTACTGATATACAATTGACTGGCTTTCTGCAGAGCCAAGTTACTTGCTGCAGCAGGAGGATGCATAAACAGCCTCGCCCTGAGGCACAGCATTTATAGATGTATTTTAGTTACAGGTAACTTTTCTCCCAAGGAAATAAATTGGTTTTTTTCTCCATAGAATCTTCTAAAAATTCTAATCGACACCGAAGTTTTAATTTATATTACTACTCTTACAGCTTCAGCTACCTTTTCTCATCTGTTCTGCATACTGTATTAATATTAAGGCTGGTTCCAGAAATTTCCTCATATATATTTAAAACAAGCTCCTTGAGGTCTCTTAAGTCTACAACTAAAATACAAATTCAAAGCTATTACAAAACTACAGCAGAGAGCCTTTTTTTTTAAGCATCATTCTTGAATTTCTTATGCCTTAGTCATCTATGCATTCCTAATTTAACTGTCATTTCTTTTTTTTTTTTTTTTTTTTTTTTTCTAACAGGCATAGCTAGCCCGGGAAAGCTGACAGATATTGAGATCCAATAATGAAAGGAAGCAGTTAGAAAAAAGCTGATTCTCCTTATGGCTTTTGTTTGTTTAATTATAATTTCGCCATTTTCCCTATTTGCAGTAACCACTACAGATGCCGTAAAGACATCTGGAAATTAAAATCTAATTCATTAGGAACTGCCACCTTCTGGAGTTAAATGATAGTTCTCTGACACAATAAATTATTCTGCTCTCTTGTACTTCTCCATTTTATCTCTTTGTAGGGAAGTACAGCCTCCATTTGAGTTCTGCTTTATTGTTTTACATTTTCCCTGAACAACTCCAACTCTTAATATTGGCCTCCCAGTGTTAGTTTTACCTCACCATCTTTCTTGATTAGTACAGCCTAGTAACATTCTTGAAAAATAAAGGCTGTAACCCACATCAAGTGCCTTGGCAAAAAATGTTCCCCCACATGAAATAGATGTTGTTTATAATGTCTGTACTAGTAGATACCTGTCTCAGACTAATAACCAACTCCAATAAAGGCATGAAGCCATCTTATTACTCACTGAAACATTCCAACAGTCTTTTCAGTTATAAAAACCATATTAAGGGCTTTTCTGTTATGTGTCTTGGGTCCCATGCTCACTGAAATGTGTAGCATCTCTCTCCCTTAATCCTCCTCAGAAACTGATGTCAGTTGCAGTATAGCTTGACTTGGGTTCTTAAATATATGTAATATTTACCAATGCCAGTCTTACATCCCTTCCGCTGTCAGTCACACCATCACTTGTCATGAACTCTCCCAGTGTATAAAATGTAAAGCACTTAGAGTGAATTTATTTCAGCCAAGAGTCAAATGAAGGTGTGTTTAGTGGAAGGTCAGAACAGCAGAGCACTGCTGCATTCACCCTTTATATCCTTCTTGCTATTGCTGCCTTTTTCTATTTGTTATCCACTGTTAGAGATTATTACTGAATTACTCAGTTCTTCTTGCACTCATTTCTGGATTACAGATTGACTCCAAGGCGGCAGGGAGTGTAAAGGAAGCAATCTTCTACATCATTTCTTCTCCCTCAGGCTCTGGAGTTTAATCCACACAGCCTTGTTTTCCATGCCTCTTACGCTGCTGTGACCTTCCTTAGCACCAAGCTTTGTCCTACAGAGCCTTCTAAATTTATTTTTTCTATTTCTACTGTCAAATAGCATGCATCCTTTTTCCACCAGTTTCCCTTCTAACTTCTACATCTTGAAAAATGCTTCTTACAGAAAAATCATCATCTTTGTTGAAAATGTCATCCAATGTAATGTGTGGTTTTTAACTCACTAGCTGTTTTTCCATCAACTTCCTATTCTCATAGCAGTTGTGTATGTCCTACTTACTGGAGACACTGATTTTACTGTAGCAACAGAAGGCCAGTGCAGCAGTGTTGTTTAAACAGGTCTGGCTTTATTTCATTAGTAATTAATTTAAACTAAAACTCTAACATGGGGCGGGGGGGGAGAAGGGGGCAGCAGGGAATGGATTCCTAAATCGCTTAAAGGCCTACAAGAAAACTATCATGGTTCTTGGCATATGTTCAAGTTCTGCAACAGTTGCAGTAATGAGGAACATGCTAAAAATACATCCCTAGGTTATGGTGTTGCTTTGTTTCCCTAATTCTTCTACTCTTTTTTCCTTTAATAAAAGGTAGCAGAACTGGTGTGTAGCAGACTGCGCTGCAGGGGCAAGTTCCTACACATCAAAGCAAATCATAAAAGAGGAAAAAGGGCTAAGAGAGGCAGACTTACATTTTTTTCCTTGACACCCCCCTTATTTATGGTTGGCAGCTGCAGTTGCTGTTGCTCACAAAGTAAATCTCCAGTTGCAAGTTAAAACCATTTGAGGTCACTAAAGAGAGAGGAGCTGTAACCAGATCTAACTCTTCATGGGATCCCTGGCCAAAATTCACTGTGCCCTTCAGAGTTGTGGCAGAGCCTTGCACCTGCAGCACCGCTCCAAACTTTGGCTACAGTGCCAGCTACTGTGGGCTTGGGTGACTCAAAGAAACGGGCCACATACTCAATGTCAGGTCATGAGTGAGAATCAACCACCCACTGCAGTTTCTAAGGGACACTTAGTATAACAGTGTACATTGGTATCACTGGGAATTTTCTTACTTTTCAAAGGAATTTGGCTCTCAAACTGGATCTCAGTTTAAGGTATACAGATAATTGGTTTGCCTTCGTCGTGTCCAAGAGCCTTTTAGGTACAATCTGTCTCTTACAAGAATTCCAGGAAGGTGGGAAGGGAGGCAGAAAAGATACCATACTTACTGTGTGTGGTTTGTTTTTAACAGAGATTTCCTTGGATGAGTGCTCCCATTCAAGTTGGATTAGTCGGATTTTGGTAAGTGATTTCTTTGTATCCACTATTTTAAGAGATACTCGTAGGGTTTTTTGGAGGAAGTAGCAATATTTGCACTTTGTTTAAAGAAAAAAAGTTGAGAGAGTTAGTGAAGCTACAGCAGTTACTTCACTTCCATATCTGTAACTGATAATACCATATTAAAAAAAAGCCATTAGGAATGAAGAAGCTGCCAGGAGAATCAGAGGGAGAAGCAAAAAAAGGCATGTAGCAACTTGATTAGAAAAGATTTTTCTGGCTGCTACCTCCATAAACTATGCTGGAAATCTAATCCTGTAGGTTGATGAATTCTTGAAACATTTGGTTAATGGAGGCTTTCATTTGCTGCTGTCTAGCATTTTATGTCATACACACCAATGCAAAACACTGAAAGGACATCAAATGATAATTTTATACACATTTGTAAGCATGGTGTTGATGCATTTAGTACATAGGTAAATGATTTCAAAAGGTATAATGCAGTGAGAAATAAAGGTTACATAGCACTTCATGGAACTTTACCTCACTGTATATATATATAAAAAAAAAGCTTTTTGCCTAAAAGATCATACCTAAGGGTTTTGAATTCTTTTAGCACCCTAAATATTGTAAACCCATTTTTGTCTCCTCTAGTCTTGTGTTTGCAACACCCCTGTGTTGTGCACTGTTTCCTCAAAAAAGGTACGTATTCCTGTTACATTATTCTTACTTTAATATTACACGCCCAGATGCATGCAAGGTACTGCAAAAAGACAGAAACAAGTAGTCATTGCCTCCTAGAGCATAGTCTTAATTCCCATATAACAAGTGTGATACACATGAGAATATTCAGTAAAGCAATAACTATGTTACTCATCAGTAATATATAATAGTTGAATTGGGCTCATTTGTTTACAAACTCCTAGCAGCTTGAGATGCAGCTATGTAGAGATAGTGAACAAGAGGTTTGGGTAAGAAGTTTAACCATGCTATTTTAAGCTGAGAAGTTTGAGTTTGATAATACAAACTTAAGAATCACTGGAACGACTCACAAAAAAGGCTAATGTGGTCCAAACAATATATTAACGTCCAGTAAGGTTATGGCTTCATTAAATAGAGTCAGAGCCCATTTTCATCTGAAAACTCCTCAGGTTATACAGAACAGCACTTGACTATACGTGCTTATTTGTAATTTGATTAATATTTTTCCAGAAATAATTTTTCATTAATACACAAATAGCTCAGTACTGAAAACTGCTTTAGAAACAATATTCATCATAGCTGAAATAATAATGAAACCTGGATGGGTTACCTGCAAATAAAGTTAGCTCAATTTGCAGCATGTACTATGAACAGTGTCTTAAATTCAGCTGGGCTGTCCCTCTCATTAGTGGTTGTCTAAACTTGACAAGCTGACAAATGTAGCTTAAAAGATGCAAACCGCAGCTAAATCCATTAAAATATTGAACAATTAAGTAGCTTTTGACTTCCAGAAAACAATACCTAATTCTCATCCAATGCAATTGTTTGAATACAACAGTCTGGCACCATCTGTTTCCCTGCCTGGCACAGAATAGAGAACTGTGGTAAATAAGTGTCACTGGGCTACCTGGAGATGACTTAACAAACTAGCATAGTAAGTGTGGTACAGTTCTTGACTTTAACCAGGGCTCTTCATTTCATAGGAAGATTCACTTTACTGTGAGATGACTCTCAAAAATAAACCTTTTATTCAACTGAGTAAAATCAGGCAGTAAGTTAAATAGGCAAATACATTATATTTAATAAAAACACCTTTAGGAAGGTAAGTTTCTGTTGCCAGCAACAACCTTGAGCAACTAAGTAGATTCCTAACCTCTTGATAGTGGCAACAGCCATTTCTTGACTCTACAGACTATCTTATTGCCTTTTAAATAGGGATTCATTTGCCCCTGGTCTGTGAGCATTATTCCTTCGTAAGTTAGAAGAAGATCTGAAAACTCTTTTCACAATCCAGGAAGTTTAACAAGATGCACTGTCCATCTTATTTTACAATCAAGTGCTTGTTATATATAACCATTTTACTGTTTCTTTTGCTTAGTTCTATGTCTGTAACACGCTTGGAGCCAGAATTGCAAGCCAAGATCCGAGAGAGCAGCCCTGAACTAGAACGTGTATACTTTAATAAAGGATTATAATTCAAGGAAGGGAAAATATCTTTCAAGGAGGATCTTGTGAACTTATTTTTGAGTTATGTGCCAACATAGTTGAAGATGAGAACTTACTTTTAACTTGTACTTTTGTTAAACAGCTTTGATTATCTGCATTATTTCGTATTTAAAGACTTCCTTGTTGTAGTGTTTAAATTACAAAAGGTCATTTTGTCCACTTTGGTATTGATTAAAAGTTTAACCATACATATCCAAAAATGTTTACATAAGCTCTCAAGCAGGTACGATAATAAACAAGCACACAAAGAAAAATAGATGCTATTATATTGAATTTGCCACCTGTTCCAGTAATAGCAGGGCAGGGCTGTCTTTGTGAGAAAGTCACAGAGCAACTGAACGAAGTTGCCACCCTCTGCTGGTAACAGGACGGGTGGCTGAACGTGACAGAAGGTTGTGTAGGAAGGGCTTTTTACCAGGAGGTTGGTTGGGTTGTAGGTTTTCCCTGTTGGCACAGAACCGTTTCTTTAAGGTAGATGTTGGGGGAGCTTGGAGCTTCTGCACGGTGTGGTACTGTTCAGCAATGCAAGCTGCTTTCTTACGCAGGTCTAGTTTTACCAGCATCATGTTGTTCTGCAGTTCTGCCAGTGTTTGGTCCTGAGAAAGGGAAGCCAATATATATATATAGACAAGTTGCCTAACTCACCAGTTACTATGATCTGAAGAGGATAAACTGCCTGTGCCAAAATCACTAACTGGTGTGCTAAATAAGGCCATACATAAAAGCTTCTACTGTCAACAGTGTAGCAGTTAAAGAACAAATTAGGAACAGTAAGGCTAGGAAAAAGCTGAATCCATCCTGCTGCAAGCATGCTGCCATAGCAACGGTGATAGAGTGAAGTGGATAAGGAAATGAGAACTCTGAATTCTACTTTAAGTACAGACTGCCAGTTAACTGAGCAGGGACAGTTTGGGTCTCCTTTGCAGAGTTAAATATGCAGTCTGACTCAACCATTGAAAAAAAATTAGCTTCCTTAATGTAACAGACAGTATTTGTCTAGGGAATAAGTAATTTTTATTTGCAGCTGCAAGAACCTAGTTTTTTCTGCTGATTACAGCAAAGTGCATAGACTAAATCCCCCTGTGCAACCCACAGCAAAACAGACACATTACCTGTCGAGCCAGAATGTCATCACACATACAGAGGGCTTCTCGAAGTTTCCCTGCACTAGTACTGTGGCAGCACGCCCTCTCTGCAGACTGAAGAGACTCCCCAAGTTTTTGTAATTCCGAACGCAGCAATCTGACATTCTACAGGAGAAATAGATTTAGTACAACAGCTGCCTTTGACACTGCTCTGCAAACAAAGCCACTTCAGGGTCATTCAGATATGCAGTACTGAGGGAGGATCCCATCTGAGCAAAGTACCCTGGGATCATGGATACCACAACCTTCCACATCTCTAGTAAGGGTTTGTTTTAAACAGACCCATTTCAACTTCAACCATTTATTTGAAAGCCTGGAACAGCAGCTCCAAACACTGTTTAAAATGGCAACCACCTTGCCCTGCAAGTGTTTCTTTCTGCAACAGAGATGGAGTTACCTTCTGTCCATCCTCCAGCTTCCTGTCTACATCCACAGTAATGGGTTTGGCAGAGGGAGGTGGCTCCACTAATTTCTGGTACTTGCGCAACTCTAGGAACAGACAAAAAGTAGTGAACAACAATACGTTCATAAGCTTTCAGTTTTTCTGAGGTCAGGAATTCCCTCGAGACAAGCTGCCACAGGCAAGCTGAGAAAAGCTTTGAGTTTGTGCAGACATGCACAAACATTCCAGGCTTCTCCCTTTCAGTTACACAAAGGGACTTAGAATTTGAAGAGGGAGATTATCCTGCCCTAAAGTCCATTTTCCTGTGAAAAAGTGAAACCCCGTCCCATCCAGCATATTATTGCTGTCATCTACAACTCAGAATAGTGATTTCAGTATGTCTGAATCCAATGTACCCTACTGGAAAAAGTATCTCAAACCCTCTACAACAATTACTCAGGCATAGTTCAGAACCAGTGCAGCATCACTGCCTTACCTGCCGTTGTGGTATTTAATTCCATTTGACACTGCTCCAGTTTGGCTTTAGTATCTACCAGCTCCTGCTGCAGAGTGCATGAGGTAGCCACTCGCTTTGATCGACGCAAGCCTTGCCCTGCATCCTTTTGCTTAGTGTCCAGGCTCTCCAATTTTTGTTTTGCCTCCTGCAGAGCAGCTTGGAGCTCCTCAATCTTCTCATCACGCTCCTTAGAAAGCAAGTTTGTTCAAATATTCAACAGGATTTTCTTAACACAGCTTTTCTGAAACTTTTGGTGTCTGTCTTCTGGAAGACTTTCTCAATCACACACTTCACATATTGGACTCGGCCTTTAATGTCCTTTAGGTGAAAACAGTGAACCCATTTCCTGGGAGCCTAAGCCACTTTTTTAGTCTCTAAAGACAAGGGATTTGGAGAGTTTGCATCTTCAGAGAGATCTGCAGCAAGTCCCAGAGGCCACTCAAATGCCATAGCATGAAAAATATGGACAGGCCCAAACCCATCATCACAACTATGAGTAAGAAGAGAAATTTCACACACCTTGTGTTAATCTGAAGAGTGCAATGCAGGCCACTAGCAAAAAGCATAAGGAGGGAGAGAATCATGTTGAACAAATAGAGGAGTCAGAATGGTTGTACGTTAACAGCTGAAAATTAGAAAGGCTAGTAAACTACATAAAGCAGTAGACAAGAAGAAAAAAATTGTGGATCAAGCTGTCAAATAGTATCACAAAAAGATACCACAAAAAGCAAAATATTTCCTTTGTTTGCAGAAGTCACCTTCCTGGACTCAAGTACCCCAAGTCCCCTCCCAACCCACTGCTACTTTCCTGATGTCATTTCATTGTCCTGAACAAACCTGGATCTCATCTTGGTAATAGTCAGTCAGAGACTCCTTCAGGTTATTCATTTTATCCTCGTACAGTTCCTCCAGCAGCTCCTTCTGAGCATCCACATGTTGGCTACAAAGACAGCAAACAACTACATGTCATGGTCTGGCAGTTCTTGGTACTGCAGCTCACCCCGAACAAAGGGAGAGATCAGCACAAGCTGTACCTGCACCATTGCTCCTTCTGCTGCATGTGCTCCAGCATCTCATTGCAGATCTCCTCACGGATGCGCATTTCTAGTTGCAGCTTCTCCTGCCGTTCTTGCACCAGCAGTTCTCGTGCAGCTTCCACTATACGCAACAGGTCCTGCAAGGACACAAACTCCATTGCCCACACTGCACAACAGAATTATTATCTAGAATAAACTAGGTGGTCCCATATCTGTAGGATGGGATGATCTAGGTTTAAGATTCTTTTAGTTGCCAGGTTTGTTCTTAATTCCGCTCCCATGAGATGGCTTAATCACTGCACCCAAGATGGAGCTATGTCCAGAGCAGCTTTCCCTACTGCACTGCCTGGGGCTGCACCTGCATGTGCTACCTTGACACATTACAACTCAAGTCTCTGTAGATATAGGACTTCCATCTCAATCTTTCAGCTATTCCAGATGTCTGCTTTGAGTATCTAGGAATTTGATTATTTTTCCTCAATTTAGCCATCTGATTTGCATGTTTTCTGATCTCTAGATTTCCCTTGCAGAGTAGGGATTATAGGTCTGCACTCAAGCTCTTATCATCCCTATTTCACAGATGACAAAATATTTCCAAATTAAGCACATGCTTCAGATTTAGACCAACTGTGGAATGTTTTCCTCATGGATTCAGTTTCCTGGGTCCCATATCCTTCTGAGGTTCTGTCATCTCTTGGTATAGTGCCAAGCTCTAGCTCCACCTCCCAGGCCAAAGCTAACAGTCATGGTTCTTGCCCCTTTATCCGTAAAGGCTGTAAACCCAATCACAACCCACCTCCTTCTCGTACATGGAGACATCTGCTTCATCCTCACTGTCTTCTGATTCCACTTCTTCCTTTGAGTCTACCTCTGGACCTCGGCTGGTTCGCCTGTTGTGCTCTTTGATGATTGACTGTATGGATGGAAGTCCCAGCTTTGTGGGAGGCGCCTGAACAAGCTGAAGGGGAAAAGGCCATCATTACTAGTCCACAAAACCTGGAAGTTGCATAAGCTTTAAACACAGCACTTGTCTGCAACCTGTCAACCCTTTCAGTTTATCAGAATCTGAAAATACTGTGAAGGTAATAATCTACTGGAGAAGCATAGGAAAGACTTGCAAGCATTCCCTCTGCCTTCTGGTGGCAGGGGACCAGTTCCCACAAAAGCAGGATGCATCCTGACTGTGCCATAATCCTGCTGTGTGCTACTTACCTGGCTGGCAATGGCTGAGAACTTGGCTACATATAGAGTTTCATCATATGTAGATGCACACTGGTTAATGTTGACGATCATGCAAGAGCGCCCACGTCCAGTGAAGAAACCCTGGAACACACGGGTTAGCTTGCTGTCCCGGAAGGGAACCACAGTCTGCTTCAATCTATGGGGAGAGACAAGAGTGAGCCCATGGGAAAGCAAAACAGCCTCCCCGCACCCTCCCCTCTGGAGTTCTGGATGCTCACCTGGACTGCTGGTTCTGGCGGAGGGCAGCAATGCAGCGACCCAGCGTGTGGAGGGAGGTATTGATGTTGTTCGCTTCCTTCATTCGGTCCCCACTTTTCTGGTCTTTGCAGCGCTCGGACCCCGCAAGGTCACACAGGGATAACCTGAGGAAAACACAGGCAACGTTCACATGACCTAATAGGTTTCTCCTGCCCTATCCGGATTCACAGTTCAGACACTATGTGATCACCTATCCTGCTCCCTCAGAAGGGGACAGAAAGCTCTTTTGGGGTGTACAGGCCATTGCTGGACAGAAAGGCCTACCCTAAGTGTAGCGGTTACACAAGGTAGCACCAACATGAGCTTTGCGGTATCAAGTTCAGAGATCCTTTGCCAGTTGTCAGGACAGCCATTTCCCAGGCACTGAGACAACCCATTTCCAGATAACTACATCCCAGGAACAGGTATTGGCAGCACTTAAATCAGCCCTACTGCAAGGGCAAGGTTACTGACATTTACCTTCATTCAAAAGGCCTGAGAACTACCTCAAGTTGTACTTCGCAGTACTCCTCACAAACCCCTCAGTTCCAAGACATAAGAGTGGGAACATTGACTCCTTCCAAGTACTTTCAACCAGACCTTCCTCAGGATAATTCCTATACCCCAGATCCACAATAAAATGGATAGGAAAGTTGAATCCACAGAGAACACCCCCAAATCCTAGAAAGCATGAAACTTACTCGCTGATTTTTGGAACAATTTCACTGCCACCTCTTTGCAAGTGCAGAATCCGAATGGAGAATACACTGTGACTGTAAAGAAATACGCAGATATTTTAAAAAGGAAATGGAACCTTTAAAAACCCCTCAGAATTTTGTTTCTCTCTAAACAACCCTCCCCCCACTTCAGACCTGCGACTCGAGTTCTGGTTCATGTGGGTGCTAGCAAAACTCTGGTTTTTCCGACCCAGTTTCAGGAGCTTCCAGGCCTCGTCAGCATCCCGGACATTGAACCAATTCAGATCTGGAAAAGCAAGCACGCATTGGGCAAGGCAGTTAGGAGATTGGCAGAAAACTTAATTATCTCAGCCCCAACTTAACCATTGCATTTCCTTGACATTAACAAACTCAACATTCCCACAATCCAGACATTAGAGACCTCTGAGGGGCCATAGAGGACATCATGCTCCCCAACACATCACTGCTAGGCCACTCACCCAGTCCTCGAGTCTCCCTAGCAGGCCACTAAAATTCTCTTTCAGGTAAATCTACCTTTCACATAGGGATTGCCAGTCTGGTCTTCACAGAGCCGCAGTGTCTGCCTCTTGCGATTCTGGCCAGGTAAAGCTGGTTCTAACAAGTCATAGATTAACTCATTGTAAATCTCAAAGAATGAAACCCAGATAGAAAACTGCACATCTGTGTTGGTGAGTGAAATGCGATCCAAGTCAGCCCAGCGAGGGCCTGATTCTGGGGAAAAAGAGGAAAAAAAATGAAAAAAAAAAAATCATGACTACAGCTTTTTACAGGTCCAACCTGAATGGTTTAGCTATAGAGTGAGGTATCTTTCTTCAGCAGGAACATTACCCCAGATTCAAATTATTCTATATACTTTCTCCCATTTGGACCTACTCTAATGCCTGTCCCCAGTGAGACAGCCTGAAGTTTCCTTTAACGGTATCCTCCTTTCTGTGTAAGAACTTTATATATACTTGATCTTGACCCCAGGAGACTACAGGATATTTCAAGCACGGAACTCTTCCCAGTAGAAGTGAAGTTTTAGTCCTTGTAACCTCAGTCACTCCATGCTTCTGGATATCTAATCAGGCAGTAGTTCCTAGTTTTGAAAGTCTGGGTACAGTGCTCAGTGCAACATGTCACTTTAGCACCCTGCTTTCCAGCCATCCCCATCACATGGCATTCGGCTGCTCAGTAACCATATCCTTCGAATGAAGTAAGTGGGTGTCAATTAGCTTCCATTTCACAAAGCTTGGTTATTATGCAGTAGTGAATTCTTAATATGTTGGCAAAACATACAAACAAAGTTCTTCAGCCCTGACATCCTTTTGTGTCAAAGGGAAAATTTGTGAGACTACAGCACCTTTGCTCCCTTACCTACAACACAGCATCCAAATAGCCATCACCCTTTCTTCCCCCATCCTCCAACAAGAAGCAGGTAGTACACAACAGGCTTCCAGACATACCTTCTGTCTGGCTAATGTCTGAATAGTTGGTGAGTTGGCTAGATGAAGAGAGGCCAGCAACTCCACTGTCAAAACTGCCACTGGTGGTGGCTTGGAGCTGAGATTCAGCACTGTGACTCCTCTTCAGTGGCGTTAACAGCTCCTCCTGGAAGGAAACAAAGAACATGAGCATGTATGATGTAGGAGGGCACCATCCTTACCCTACTATTAAATCTCCAAGAATCTGCATGCTTACCTCCCACAGACCGCCCCGCAGCATGGTCTGCTTCTTGGCCTCTTCCTGCCGCACCTGCCTGCTGTCCAGCCAGATCACCTCGTTGGAGAGGGAAGGCTTCAGATCCATGGCTTGGTACAGCCGGTCCCCCACACTGTTGAAGATGACCGCTAAGGAGCGAGGCAGAATCCCCCCATCTTTGTTGCTGCCTGAAGCAAGAACAACAGCAAGCTGAGGATTCACATGTAGAAGCAGACAACTCCCTCAACAGGCTACTAACACCTAGTGCTTTCCTCACCCTGAATGGTGTGAGTCTTCCCTGAATTGGTGATGCCATAGGTGTAAACCAGCCAGTTCTGCCCATTCAGTACATCCTTTACCACCTGCTTCATTGTCTCATCAAAAAACAATTTCTGCCCCACATCTGGTCCAAAGATCTGCAAACAAGACACATGAAAAATGGCCTCATGTAGGTTTCCTATATTTTGACTGCTGATGGTTGTTCAAGTGATATTACATAGTCTTTGTTCCCTCCACTAGCCCCACATCATGAGCAACGGAACCACCAGTAATTCCAGTCCAAGCCCCCTACAAAAACAAGCTGTTCACTGACTTAATCCAGTAAAATCTGATAGCCCTACAGCCTCTAATGTGTTTAGAGCCTCGTGAGCAAAACAAGAGTTTGACATTTGCTGCTGAAAAAGTTGTAAGGATCAGCTTAACAAGAGAAAAACTAAGGAAACAACAGGAACAAACTTAAGTAGAGAGGATTGTACAAGACTATATGAATTCATGCAGTGCATTGGAATCAATGTGTAAACCAGCTTTTCAAGCCATAAGGCTCATTTAAGCTCAGACAACTTTCAGATGGATTGTTTGTCCCCGTTACCTACCTGGGTGAATGAGAATCTGTGTACTGCTTGCCCCACTCCACGTTCTGTGCTCCGCATGGTAAAGGAGTCTTTTGGGGCTTTTAGAAGAAGGTTCTCTGAATTCTCAATGCAGACACAGCCCTAAAGAACACATAAAACCCCCATCATTGCGATGGCTTACAAGAGGCCATAGCGTAGACAGAAAAGGATAACAGCATCTTCAGCCAAGCACACAGCTCAGAGACTGCTTCATTCAGTGTCTCACCTGGTCTTCCCCTTTTTCCACTTCTGTAGATTTCAGAGGTCGAACTCTCAGATAAACCTTTAATTTTCCATTATTTTCTTCAGCTACAGCCTGCAAAAATCACCACAGGTTAAATATGATCACCAAAGAGGCAGCGCAGAACCATCCATCAGAACACTAGCAGGAACCACAGCATGGCACACATGCGTGGCTGCCCCAACTAGTGCGGGGTAGCTAATGGACACTTCTTTGGTCCCAAAATCTCCAGCAATGCCAGAAGCCTTCTTAGGCATTCCAGGCACACCAGCCTTTGTTTTGTTTATTTAGTGAATCAGACCAACAACCTGAAGACCTGACATCAATACCAACCCCCAGAAGAAGCACCACAGTAAGAGGCATCATGTAAGAGGCACTTACTGACTGTACCCTTCATAGTACACTGCTCATAACAGGAACTGCTCCCCCACAATGCAACATTTTGTCCTAGCCTCTTCTGAAGAACCTCTCTTGGCCCTGCATCACAACATCTTTGTACAGAAACACAGCAGCCCCAAGTCAAAACACCATCCCATTTGTGACAGAAGAGCTCCAGCCTCACCTGCTGGGAGCCCTCCAGATCTGAAGCAATGGCAGAGAACTCTGACAGCAGGTCCTTGCGCACATCAGCCCCAAACCCTGTTGCTGTGGATTCAAGAACAGGGGAGACTGCAACATCATCATCAGAGAACAGCCCTGGGGAGGCAATTGCTTGCGCCATGGCGTCTCACACAGCTCCTGGAGAAAAAGAGGCACAGTCAGGGTAGGGTGAGGGTACTGCAGTCTTCCAGGAGTCCAAGCTTTGCTCCCCCCCACTACACACAATCTGCCACCACTAACATTTCCATCTACTCCCCACAGACTGCCCCACGAAACCTTCCCTCCACACCCACCCACACCGAAACGCAGGATGCCACTGCAAATCCGGACACAGCCCTCTATCCCCCCCCAACCACCACACAGGATCCCGCATACCGCTTACACACTCGGACCGCCACGCTGGGCCCCTCCACACACACACACAGCACCTCATGAGGCTCGCGCGCACACGCCACACAGCACCCCGGCCTGACAAAGCTCCACACAGGCTGCCGCCCCTCCCCCAACAACACACACCCCCCAGAGAGCAGCACACGGGGCCTGCCCGCACAGGCACAGACTGCCACACAGGGCTTCCCCACACGCACGCAGTATCATTATCATCGGTAGCAGTATTACGATGATCAGCAGCAGCAGCCCCCGCTGCCGCCCCTCACACGGACCCGCTCCGGCTCCGCCGCCGCCTCGCGCTCCCCTCTGCGCCCGCGCGGCGCCCACTGTTTGAGGTTTCAAACCTCGCCGCCCGCCCGCTCCGCCAATAGGGGCCCGCGCCTGCTCAGCCACCAATCAGCGCCCGCCATAGGGTGGGAGGGGCGGTCCCAAGCGCTCGCGCGCCTCCCGGCGGGCTTTGCGCGCGGCTCCGCCTCCCCGCTATCTCGAGCCGGGCGGGGAAGATGGCGGCGGGGACGGGCAGTGAGTGTGGGGCCTGGCGGTAGGAGGTGGCGGGGAGGGGGCGGCGGCCCTCGGGAAGGGGGCAGGGGAGCGGCCCGAGGACTGAGGGGTTCACGCAGGGAAGGGGCGGGGGCCAACGGAGCCGGGGAGGGGGAGGGTAACCGCTCTGGGGTGGGGCTCGAGGCCCGGGGTCGCCGCCGGGGCCGTACACTCCTTCCCCTCTCCCGGCAGAGCACAAGCTGCTGAGCGCCGGCCCCACCGAGCCGTGGTCCATCCGCGAGAAGCTCTGCCTGGCCTCGTCCGTCATGCGGAGTGGGGACCAGAACTGGTAAGAGAATGGGCAGCGGCCTCTGCCTTACGGTGTGCAAAGCCTGGGGCGAAGCGCTGCTGTGCCCGTCTGTTGTGCCGCAGCTAGCCATTCACACTTCGGTTTCCTGTTCAAAACAAAGATGGGGGCAGAAAAAGTTGGAGGTGTTACAGGTGTAACTTGGCACTCTTTTTGCTTCTGTAACTACTGTGTAAGAGCAGAAGTGTGTTAATGAAAACAGAGTGACATGTTCATAAATTGGAAGAGATGAGTTGTGGTCAAGAAGGATATTTGATAACAGATTCCTGTGCACAGCTGCTCAACTTGAAGCTCTGTTTTGCTGCCGTTTCCCCCTCACCAAAGTAAGATTTGGGTAGCAATGTAATGGTGTCATTAGAAGCTAGAAACTTGCTTTTCAAAGCAAAGGAGTGAAGCTGTTGTTCAGGAACAATCGAATATCTTTGAGTTCAAGGGCTGTATTTGAATAATTCCAAAACACAACTTGGCAAGTTCATTGTGTTTATGGTGGCTATCAGTGATGAATGTTATGACAAGTCAGTGTCTTTTCTCTGCATGTTGGTTGAGGAAGAAAATAATTTGATAGTGACTCACTGTTTCTCTCCTGTAGGGTCTCAGTCAGCAGAGCTATCAAACCTTTTGCAGAGCCAGGACGCCCACCTGACTGGTTTTCCCAAAAGGTAAGATACTGATATTTGAATCTTGGGGAAAAAAATCAGTTCTGCTTGTGTTGTGGTTTAACCCCAGCCAGCAACTAAGCCCCACACAGCTGCTCACTCACTCCCTGGCGGTGGGGTGGGGGAGAGAATCAGAAGAGTAAGAGTGAGAAAAATCATGGGTTGAGATAAAGACAGTTTAACAGGTAAAGCAAAAGCCACATGCACAAGCAAAGCAAAACAAGGGATTCATTCCCCATGGGCAGGCAGGTGCTCAGCCATCTCCAGGACAGCCAGGCTACATCACGCATAACGGTGACTTGGGAAGACAAACTCTATCAGCCTGAACATCCTCACTTCCTCCTCCTTCCTCCAGCTCTGTATGCTGAGCATGACGCCATATGGTCTGGAATGTCCCTGGGGTCAGTTGGGGTCAGCTGTCCCGGTTGTGTCCCCCCTCCCAGCCCCTTGTGCACCCCCAGCTACTCACTGGTGGGGTGAGGAGTAGAAAAGGCCTTGGCTGTGTGTAAGCACAGCTCAGCAGTAACTAAAACATCCCTCTATTATCAACACTGTTGCCAGCACAGATCTAAAACATAGACCCATACCAGCTACTATGAAGAAAATTATCTTGGCCAAAACCAGCACAGTATGAAATATGTAAGACAGCTGCCTAAGAGAACGTATTTGTTTTTTTAAAAAGATAGCAAAAAATAATTTTAAAAAAAAATTATTTAAATCAGATTAAATACTTTTTTCTATTTCTGAAATTAAATTTGAGCTTACTGTACAGTTGCGTAAAGTTAAGGAAAACACAAGGATGATCAAAGACATGAAACAGCTTCCTTGTAAGGGATGGCAAGTAAGGTAGAATCCTTAACATAAAAAAGAGAAGAATAACAGGAATACAACAGATGTCTGCGCAATCAGAAGTGTCATGCTGAGGATGAATAGGGATTAATTGTTCAGTGCTTTGTCCAGTACAAGATTTAGAGGCTATTAAGTAAGACTAACAGTTCGAAGCAAACCTAAGGAGATTGTTCTTCACCAGGCATGTAATTAAGCTATGGAATTCCTTGCCTCAGTAATTTGTAAATGCCCATGTATTTTGGTCTGTCCTGCTGTTTGGTCAAGCACCTGGGATTTTTGTTGTACAAGGAACAGATGGAGATTAGGAGAATCAAGAGAGGAGAAGTGGGGAGTTTTATGTTGCTTACTGTTTATGTTAAGCTGTGAAACTGGCCTTGATATAATGTTATTTTGTCTTCTCCGTTTAAATATTTTTGGTTTATGTTCACAGATAAAAACATTACAGCTGCAGTTTTGCTCACTTGCTTTGATTTCTAAATTGTTAGTTGGGAGCATCTGTTCATTAGCTTTGTTTTGAAGATCAGCCTGGGCAGTGTTAGAGTAAAAGAATGAATACGCTTACTCACTTTAAGCTACACTAAATTGTAGCCGATTATATATAATGTTCTCTCTGGAGAAGACTTGTCAGATGTGTTCATAAAGTGCTAGACCTCTAAAGAAATAAGAGTAACTGCCCTATAGGCTTTGTTGATAGGCATTTGCTGAAGCTGACTCTGGTGTCCTCTGACTTTCTTTGTTTCTTCTTAGCACTGTGCATCTCAGTATTCGGAGCTCTTGGAGACTACGGAGACCCCTAAGTAAGTAAAAAGTCTGACACAAGTGCAGTCCGCAGCAGTTTGGGGTGGATTTGTCGGTTCTTACAGCAAAGCACTTGATAGTGCTCCTCCCAAAAGCATACATGAATGAGGAAATTCAGTTGTGATAGCTGGTGTGGGTAGACAGTGGGATCAGAGTATGGCAGATGGGGGAGACTGGCAAGCCCAAGGTATTTCTTAGAACGTGCTTCCCATATGTCTTTGTCTTGTCTCCTTTTTTTTCATAAGGCTCAAGTGTTTAAGCATTACATGGTTCTAGAACTGGTCACTGTGTACTTGTGTCTTCTATATGCCCCTGCTGTCATTATAATACATGGCAGGGTAACTGGGGCCTCTGCCACAGCTGCATTTGTAAGAGTTGCAGTGTGCATTTTGGGACTTAATGCAGAAGAAAGAAACATTTGGCTGGAATAAAACACTACATGTTATTTGTCTCTATTTTGCAGTGGTTTCTTACAGTTTTCTAATCGGTGCTATCAGTACAGTTTGGGGGTGTCAGATACTTCTCACTTGAAACTCCAGGCATTTTGTTTCGGGACTTCATGTCAAATAAAATTAAAGGCAGGATGTTTAAAAGTAGTACTTGTTTATGATAGTGCTGAACGATCTTTCAAAAACAAAGGACTTAGAGTTGATGAGGTAAATAACAGATGTTTCTTCGTAGTAAGAATCTTCTCTGAAGTGGAATGTTTGATTTTTTTCAGGTTGAAAATTTATAGTGGGTTTGCATCTTTGATCTATTCCCGAAGTCTTTAACACTGAGCACATTTAAGAATCAGATAATTTTTTCAGAAGAGATTGTTTGAACATTGTGCTATCCAATATTATTTAAGGGAAATACGAAGAGGTTGATTTTTTTTTTTTGTGCATGTGTGTGTCAGGAATAACAGCAGCCATTTATGGAAGGAGAACTGGGGTTTTCTGTTTCATGTCTGAACTCTTTTTTATTCTATAGGAGAAAACGTGGTGAGAAGGGAGAAGTTGTAGAAACTGTGGAAGATGTTATTGTGCGGAAGCTGACTGCAGAACGAGTTGAGGAGTTGAAGAAAATGATTAAAGAAACACAGGAAAAATATAGGTATGTGGCAGAGGTGTTGAGCTGTGGTACACCTGTCTTGAAAAAGTGGCCTATGCAGAATGGTGCTTAGGGTGTATTGTTTAGTGATAAGTAAGTAAGAAGATTTTCTGATTACAGGCAACTCAAGAAGGATGCAGAGCTGATCCAGGCCGGACACATGGATAACAGACTGGAGGAGCTCTGCAATGAGATTATGATGTGGGTTATTTAATTATTTCCATGTTATGCTTTCTTTTGAGATTGTAGTTCCTAGACACTGTATATTTGTTAGACATCCCTTGCTCCGCGTACTTTGGGTTAAGAGAAACGAGGCAGCTGGGCAGATGCTTTGGTCTCTGAGGGATGACTTAGTTTAGGTTGTGTGGAACATGGTTTGGAGTTTCTCAGTAAAGATCTTGGTGATGGCTTGCAACATCATGCTTGCCTTCTCTGTTTTGACATTCATCTGGAAGTGAAATTTCCTGCCAAGCGTGTTGTTCTCTGACTGGCCTCTGACTCTGCTTCCCTCCTCAGAGGGTTTGAACCTGAGTCCACAGAGGCAGTCCATTGTTGTCTGGAGATAATGGGGGTCAATGAGCTGGTTGCAGAGGAGGAACTAAGAGGAAGTGGGACACTCTGTGACAGTAGGTTTTGATTCTGTATACAGAAAGAAGAAAATGGAGGAGGAGGAGGCAGAAGTCAAGAGGAAAGCTACAGATGCTGCTTATCAGGGTAAGCTGAAAATGATCTTCCTTACCTCGCCTCAGAGAGAGATGCATATATTCATAAGAACATTTGGGAAATACTTAAGTCTTGTTAAGACCTGTTCAGGAGGTATTTGTTGACCCTAGATTTGGAAAGAAAGGTTGTATTTACTTTCTAGTACTATATTTGTAACAGGGGAAAATGCAGAGACTTCTGAGAATGGAACAATTTCTGTAGAAAAGGTGTGTCTAAGAGGAAGCAGGATTAGCAAGGAACTCTCTGTTAGAATGTCAGGCTTTCACCCCTTCAGTTTTCCCTATAGCTTTACTATTGTCTGAAGTTGAAAGGAAGAGAG